AGTATATCAAAAAGGAGTCTACTTTACTGGCATAAAAGTGTTCAACAATCTGCCACAAAGTATTAAAAACTTGGGCAATGATACTAAAAAGTTTAAATCAGAGTTAAAGAATTATCTACATGCTCATTCCTTCTACTCTTTAGATGAATACTTCAATGTAAATAGAGAATGATGTAAAATTAAGTTATATTAATTTTTAAGCTAAAATTGCCTGTACTTATGTATGTAACCTTTTGACTTGTTCTGTATCCAAAGGTACTAACCTGCTTAGGATTTATAGAATGTAAATAAATTCAATTCAATTCAATTCAACACATAAATAAAAAATATGAGAAAACACAGCCAAAGAGGCATGATTAGTTTAACCTGATAATATATAATATAAACTCCGTCCTCAGTACAAACCATATATTATAGGTCTTTCGTTTTGCTCTCCTTTACACACTACATGTTTTGGCCCCAAACGGCCAACATCAGGTGTATTACTCACATATCTGTCATACTGCACTTAGTTCAACATTTAAAATTTAAAACACAGGTCTTCCTGAATGTTCCTTTCGTCGTTATTACCAAAATCTACTTCGTTGATGTCTTTGTTATTTACACGTCAATTTTGATTTCTCTGAATTAGCACTTATAAAATCTTCAGTTCTAATTTTAAAATCTAGAGAAATTTAGAGAAAAATTTAAAAGATTTTAAAATTTACTCTAGAGTAAAATTTAGAGAAAAATTTAAAAGATTTTAAAATTAGAACTCTAAATTTAGAGTAAAATTTAAAAGATTTTAAAATTGGAACTCTAAATTTAGAGTAAAATTTAGAGAAAAATTTAAAAGATTTTAAAATTAGAACTCTAAATTTAGAGTAAAATTTAAAAGATTTTAAAATTGGAACTCTAAATTTAGAGTAAAATTTAGAGAAAAATTTAAAAGATTTTAAAATTAGAACTGAAGATTTTATAAGTGCTAATTCAGAGAAATCAAAATTGACGTGTAAATAACAAAGATATCAACGAAGTAGATTTTGGCAATAATGACGAAAGGAACAATCAGGAAGACCTGTGTTTTTAAATTTTAAATGTTAGACTAAGTGCAGTGTGACAGATACGTGAGTAATAGACCTGATGATGGCCGTTTGGGGCCAAAACATTTAGTGTGTAAAGGAGAGCAAAACGAAAGACATATAATACATGGTTTGCACTGAGGACGGAGTTTATATTATGTATCGTATAGAGTGCAACAGGATGCTTAAATATAATATTGTTAACCTGACAAGCCCACACACTATTCCCATCATTTGGTACTAATATTTCTCAATGGAGCTAGTTCATAGTGTACTTGGTACATAATAAATAACTTTCAAATTAAGGAATATCAAATGCTGTCACTTCCAAGCTGGAAGTTTTATTAACTACATCATCAGTACAACTACATGACAATATTATCATTCAAAAGTTAAGTTCTTGGCTGCTGCTGCTGCTCAGTTTGCATCCTTTTCATCAAATCTTCATCCTGCACTGACAACTGTGTCAGTTTTTTCCCAATACGTTCATGAATGTCCAGATACTTGGCAATACAACGATCCAGACAGACAGATTCACCTTTTCCTAATTCTGCATCCTTGTATTTTGGAGGGATGCACTTTTTGTGACATGCAGCAGTCATCCTATTGTACATGTCTGACATCATCTCAATCTCCAGCTCCTGCACCAATTGGAGCTTGGATATGTCTACTGGGGGCATGCCAGCCATGTTTCTCAAACACTCACTATGACTTTCAGCCAGAAAATTTCCTTGGACCACTGTCGTACTCCCCAGCGTTGGATCTTCGAATGCGTTCTCTCACTTTCATAGCCTCATAGCGGTGTTTATCAACAGACTTCTTTGAAATCACAAAACTGTACAATCCAGCTGTTGTCACTATTGCCCTGGAATAGAACACATTTTATATCAAATGATCTTAAAATGTACCTAAAAGCATCCACTGCAACTTTCTTAAATGGTCACAGACTAGCTAGGAAATTTGGGTTTAAACATTTTTCTCTTCCAAGATTTGTTATCTATTTACAGTTTAACAACCAATTCTATTACTAATGGGCATATGAAGAGACAGTGTTATAACAACTACCAATTATGAATTCATACAAAGCCTTGGAAAGAGGCAGTCATAATATGTTTAATACCTTTCGTTTTACAGATACATAGTGTCTAACAAAAATGCTTTCAATGCAGTCCCCATGAATGCTTAACACACAAAAACAAAAATACCAGAAGCCTTTCTTCTTGAAATACTTTTGAAAGATACTGTTATGACTACATGCCGATACACGAGAAATGCTTCGTGTTGCAGAACGGAATTAATTTAAACTGTAAAACTGACTACGCATCTCAGTAATCACACGTGGTTAATGGTCGAAGTACTTTCAAAGCTTCCTCCTAAAACATATCTACATCATTTATTACTGTGTATGCAGAACGGTGCAAGAACTCGTAAATTAATATTGCGGTTAATATCGGTGCCAAATTAGCGCCTTATATTTTAAAACTGTTTTAAAAGATGATCCCATAACTTGTGCATTAGAACGAACATGGAAGCCGATACACGTTCTTCTGCACCTACCATCCAATACAGACTTTTGAAACATTTCCTAATGGCATTATATTTTCTCAGTAATAAGTTTAACAATGCTTTATATTTGATATCATCCGTCTAAATTACTTAACTAAACCACCAAACAAACTAAATCGCAAAACGAAATACACCCAACCTGCAGTACCTATTCGCATGGTAACCAACACGAAGAATTGTATTTCTCTGAGAGAACGCCTCCGAAATTAACGTCTGGTTATCTTTATATGTTTCACTGTAGAATGTTATTTTCGAATTGACATTAATGTTACGCAAACTGAACAGACAGATTTACAATAAAACGTCTGAATATTGCTCACGCCGGTTAGAATCATCCAGATGGAAATGAAAGACGCCAGCAATAGGGAAAGAATATGGAACACATGGACCGACATGGACTGTGCATTAATCTATTGCTGTACATGAAAACAAAACAAAACATGAAGAGACATTTTTTTAAATCGTTTCACGTAACGCACAGCTGCTCTGGTTTATAATTTTTGCAGTAACATGTATTAACAAAATTCGGTGCACCAGATTGAAAATTCTGAAATCGAATGGATTGGAATGGTTATGTTACGCCTAAGAGCTTAAATATGAAGAAGCAGGTTATTAGGCTGAGGTCAACGAGCTATAGTGCTCATCAGTCTGATGAATGTCAATCGACGTTTTTGACGAACATCATCATTATTTCGAATCATTACCAACATTCATAAGTTCCAGGTGGTATTTTGGAGCTGAACTGTGTGAAAACTGTAAGTAGGTAGTTCACCAGTTATTGGTAGAATGTAATCTCAAACCAAGAACCTTAATTTAATGGAACATTGCACAATATAACTGTGGCCTGACTCAGTTTCACTTTTGTTTGTAGTACCTACCTCACACTGCCTTGCTGGGTTACTTTTTGATCCCTGACCAGCTGCAATGTTGTAGTTTGCATTTTGATTTTGGTTCAAAGTTTCCTATGTAAGCAAGGTATTGAAAAGAGCACATTACAACTGTTTTGGACTGCTTGATTTCATGTGTTGTATTGTACAATACAACTGGGCATCTTTATAATTGCTCCACTCTTTCTCTCTTTATTTCCCAAATTCAATGATTTCGACATATTAACTGTACCAATCATGCACGTTGCCAGCTTGCCTTTCCAGATTTGCATCAAACTATCACCATGGAGGGTGGGGGAGGTTGCCTTCTTATATTTGTGGCCTTTCATTCAAGATGTTGTGGAATTCCTTTGCTAGACCTCATAGCAGCAGAAACTTTTGTCCTCCCCCCCCCAAATAAATACTCCTGAAATTTTGCATATTCAAGATGAATATTCAATTTTGCTATCACCTGTGCTGCATTAATTCTGTGATATTTCAAAACAATACAAAATGTACGACAGTCTCTTTCTGTCAGTGTTGATTTTCACCGACCATTCTTTTTCACTGATGTTGTCTTCCTGTGACTGTGTTGTGATGACATAACCTTAGGAACCTTCACTCTCTATGCACCTAATAATGTGGCAGTTTTTGTCACAGATGCTCCAGCTAAATGCACGCCAATGATCTCTCCTTTCCAAAATCGGACAAGTCTCCAATTTTTTTATTCTTTCACATGGACTGTCACTCAACATGATCACTAATGCACTGACCCGAGCACTACAGAGTGTAAACAAATGAACATTCAGCATCACCAACTGAAGTTTTTTGAATCTAACCAACACAAATTCTGAAGAAAGCAGCCTTCTGGAATGTGGCACCATGTAGATATTGCGTTAACTGACATTTCGGAGGAACATATCGCCTCCATCTTCGGGGTAGAAGAAAAACAAAGAAGAAAATCCACAGGTGAAGAACCAGCGTGAGCAGGTGCAAATAGACTAATGTCGAGAATAAACCCAGCTGTATAAGAGCAGGAAGGGAAGGGAGAGGGGCTGCATGGGAGAGAGAAGAGGGGAAGGGTCTGGGGAGGTGGGCCAGCAGGTATCAGGCTAGAGCAGGTATAGAATATTGTGTCAGGGGAGAAAGGCAAGGTTACTGGTAGGACATTGATCCTTAAGCTTGGCGGTTGCTATGCGAGTCAGGCATAGACTTGCATGGCCTTGTGGATCTGGTGTCATGTCCCGGATGTTTCTTGAAGGAACAGATCTCAAATCTTACAACACAAATTCTGTTCCTCAAAACCTTAGTGTTTCCCTTATTTTGTTCACCCTTTGTATAGCTTGATTTAGCTTCCTGCACCATTCTCACTAACAGCCCATACTTCGTCATTTTTATGGGTCTATACAGGGTGTTTCACGACTTTAGGGCATAACTGCAGGAGGGATTTCCTACGTCTTTGTGATCAAAAATGTTCATATAAACATGTGTCCGATTTTGGACGGTTACGGAGCTATGACCGCTTTAAACTCAGAATAGAAGGTAACGATTACTGACAGTAAATGGAACAAAATAATAAACCAGCATAACACATGATACATTTAAAGTAAGAATGTAAAGATAACTTCGTGAAATTACCTTTAATTTGAATTGATTGGTGCTTAAAGCTGATTTTCGAAAATGTCACCCCCGGCCGCAACGCACGCTGCCGCTCAGTTGTGAACCGTGCGGGTAGCACGTAGCAGCTTCAGCTGGCTGTTTCATATGTGGTCAGCGACATCCAGAATGCGACCAAGCAAAGCATGTCAGTTCACACAAGGGCGTGTACAGGAATGAAAAAAGGTCATAACTCCGTAACCGTCCAAAATCGGACACATGTTTATATGAACTTTTTTGATCACAAAGCCTTAGGAAATCACCTCCTGCAGTTATGCCCTAAAGTCGTGAAACACTCTATATATCCTGAACTTTAGGCAGCCTCTTCATAAATCATGCCTTCATGTAGTGAGAGTTCTCTTTGAGGACTGTAAACTGATGTAACTTGTGAAGGAAATGGTGATGAACACATTGAAATTGAAAATTCTGTTGTATGTGCTGACTTGTCACTGAGCTACCAGGCCTGCCAGATTGCTTCAGTATTGTTTCTGCTCATGGTCTGGGAGGAAAACTGGAATGCATATTGTGGGTTTAATAGACCAACAGTCTTTCATATGTCCTTTCTAACCTGCCCTATCAAAATTATCAAGTCTAAAAACTTGTTTGTTCCTGAAGTGGTAATATTTGACCACATTAGTCTTTTAGATGGTGATTTCTATTGATGGAAATTCTGACTGTGGTAGAGACTAGACTGATATGAAAAGAGTTGTGTGAGTTCATCATCAGTTACAGCACTGACCACTTGAGCAACATTGTGAGGGTTATCAGTAACTGTATCCAATCGTATGGTTCTGAGAAATGGCTCATCATTCAATTTTATATCAGTTTTATCCCACATACCTTCTGATTCATCAGAGTGAATAAATGTTTATAGAGTTATTCACTGTCACAAATGCAGGACAAGTTCATGACGTGAACTGGTGGTGGCTGTGTCAGTGTCCAGGATTTCTGTTTCAGCACTTTCTTTGTGAGGTGCATCAATCAGGAAACAGTTTGCATGAAATTCCAAAAAATATTGTCACTGGCTATAACTCTGCTGTGTGATACTGCAGAAAGTCAGAAAGCAACAGAGGGAACAGAGTAGACTGAATGCATTGTTTTGCACTTTTATGGTATGTAAAGGCAGTGACTACTAGTGGTCTGTATTCTGTGAGATGATCAGCTTGAATGGTAAAATTCTTAGCATAGTTATGGTATCTAAAGTCATGGATTACAGTTGGCCTATTTTCTGGGAACAGAGCAATAGAATTGTTAAACTCTTTTGCAGTGTTATGGTATTTAGGGGCATAGGTTGTGGCCTCCATAGTCTAGGGGTAATGTTCCCACCTTATGACTCAAGGTACGCGGGTTCAAAAACCCGGTGGAGGTCGTGGAATTTTTAAGGGCAGAAAAATTCAGGGAACAAGTCCTCCGGGAGGGACTTTAAGCCGTGGGTCCCGTGTCGTAGATTTACGGCATGTAAAAGAACCTCATGTCTCTAGGAGACCTCTGAGCAAAATTAGGCCAAGTTTCCCTCCCAACTAGTTTCCAATTCCTCCAGTAGATGGGGGAAGTATCAGGTACCACTGCCAGAGGAAGGGGGACCTCTCTGACAGAAAGGGACTAAAGTATTAGATACCACTGCCAAGTGGAGGGTAAAAACCTTGCTGGCAGAAAGGGACTAGGAACCCCTGCCAGAGGAGGGACGACCTCGCTGACAGAAAGGGACTAACTATTAGATACCACTGCCAGTAAGAGGTTTGAACCTCGCTGGCAGAAAGGGGCTGATAGTAAGCACCAGTACCGGTAGGGTATGGAGACAGTAGAAATTAAAGGGGGACGCACAATGGACCAGTAACTGGTCTAAGTGCATGGGGAAACCCACCCCCTCAATACGGAATAGGGGCATAGGTTACAAGTACCCAGAATTTTTTATTTTGTAGCTGAAATAATGGTACCATTGTTGTGGATGTGTGATATTTAAGGCCATAAGTTGTAAGTGGTCTTTGTTTATTATGTGGAGACAAAAATATGTTTCTTCCAGTTACCAGTATCCTTGGACAGACATGTCAGCACAGCATCACTGTTGAGGTGAAGAATGACACAGCTGACAAAATCATAGATCTAGGTGACCAGTATGCTATGCATGGTATTTAAATCATGTCCTTCAATGCATCTATCAACAGTGTGCTAATATAACATATTCATTGTAAGTTTCTGCCAATTTTCAGGCCCAGATGGTTGGTTTGCAGTGGAAGCGTAGAGCAAGAGTGATGTTGACACTCTTGTCTGCATCTGTGTGCCTAGTTATGCTGATATTTTGCATATGGTGGCCTTCAGTTACAGACCTCATAGAAGTGGAGAAATGTCCAGCCTGCTACGGTGTCTCACTGTGCCCTGCCATCACTCGAGGACTTCTCACTGTGGATACCTTTGGTTCAGTTGCAGGATTTGTGAATATTCTGGGTTCAAAGAATGTTTTGTTTGGTATGCTTGGCAATCAGAAAGTGGTGCTGAAGAAACTGGGGCATGCCAAAGAATTGGTAAACTTAGACTCAATAATCTGTGAAGAGGCCAATCTAGGTTCATCTTGTCATGTGAATGAGGCAATCTGGCAACAAGGTGACCTGATACACTCCATTAGGCAGCATGTGGCTAACCAGGGTGGTGGCCTGTTGCTGTGTCCAACTGTGGTAAACATGGATCATTTGTTGAGCAATGTGTTTTACAAAAATAAAGACATTGGTGTTAAGGTGTTGCATGCCAATATCTGGACATCTATAATGATAAATCCTGAGCCACTGTTGTTACAGGTAGGCCCTTACATACAATAAGTCTCCTGATAGGATTTTTATACTGGAGCAGTATATGAAATGTTGTATTTGAACAAGATGTTGTGCTGTTTTTGAATAATATACATACAGATTGTATTGAAGGAACACATATCCAAGTCTGTGCATTCATGCTTGGTAGGACATTGGTGTTGAAGGTTTTGTGAACAAGTACATACTGCAACCTGGTTTTCATGAAGTATTGTTTTTGATTGAAATATTTTAATTTCTGTGGGATATTCACAAATATCTTCACAAATTTAATAAATGGACACTCAGAATTTCTGACTTATAAATAGTGTTTAATTTTTGAGGGTCTTTAGTTTCGTTTCTTGGTCTGTTTAATGCCATTGTGTCAGGTACATTGGTTATTTATGGTGTTAAATGGGTGTCATTGTGATTAATGAATGGAAAAGTGTTTGGAAGGTAAGAACATTTGCCTGTTTGGAGCTCTTACTGAAAATTATTCCGGATGAAATCATCAGCAATGCTTCAGAATGTGGCAACAACATTTAATACACATTTACTTCTCAATGAATAAGAAAGCACATTTTAAAACAGGAATTGATTCTTTCCACAGGTGCTGCCAGAGCAGGATGGCTGGCCAGTAGCAAAGTACCTAGGTGCATGTGGACGGGTTGTCGTGGAGGAGTATGCTGGGGAGATGTTGACCTCATATCATAATGCACCATGGCTGCAGAGAGCAAATTTTGCCTACCAGCTACTTATTGCAGCCCATAACTTTACTGACAGCCACCCACTCTTTGGTTTCTACCTCACTGATATCTCTGCAGACAATATTGCTCTAGATTCACATGGCAGACTGAGGTTTGTTGACCTTGAGAACGTGATTATAGTTGACAGAAATGCCCCAGTTGAAGGTATGTGCTTTTTTAATAATATATTTATACATATATATGTTCTGTAATTAACTCTTTGACTGGTGCAGGCGTATTTTAACGCCCGGACGATGCCAGCCGTTCACTGGCGTTGGCGTGTTTTAGCGCTTTTACAATCTCTTCCCTTCTTTGCTCTCTTGGCACTCATCAACCAAAGACATATATATTGTGACATGTTGCGCAAAGGAGAACCCCCCCCCACCAGCAGTGACGCGGCGGGTGAGTCAGCGCTCCCCTCCCCCTCCTCCGCACGGTAACACAACG